AATGGTTTACCTCAGCTGTGAATTTCTTTGCACTTTATCAGTACCATTATAAGCTGATACAATTTAGTTTTCATTTTAATTTTGATTGCATAAACTTTAATTTCCACCACAAATGTTTTCTTCTTTTCCATAATACTGTTCTTTTCAAAATACAAAATATAAATGATCTATAAAATTAGTGTGCACTTTAATAGCTATTTATGCCAGCATATGGATATTTACATGGTGAAGAAGCCCATGTGCCAGTCATATATTTACAGTAATTGCTTCATCATAGGCCAGTCATATATTTACAGTAATTGCTTCATCATAGGCCAGTTATATATTTACAGTAATTGCTTCATCATAGGTCAGTTATATATTTACAGTAATTGCTTCATCATAGGCCATTCATATATTTACAGTAATTGCTTCATCATAGGCCAGTCATATATTTACAATAATTGCTTCATCATAGGCCAGTTATATATTTACAGTAATTGCTTCATCAAAGGCCATTCATATATTTACAGTAATTGCTTCATCATAGGCCATTCATATATTTACAGTAATTGCTTCATCATAGGCCAGTTATATATTTACAGTAATTGCTTCATCATAGGCCATTCATATATTTACAGTAATTGCTTCATCAAAGACCATTCATATATTTACAGTAATTGCTTCATCATAGGCCAACAAATATATTCCACCTCCACTTCTCCTACTTTTTGTTATATCAGTATTCTATTGCTTTTCCAAGTCCCACACATTATAATTTGTTTGCAAAGTTGATATTCTTGAAATTAATATTTACATCAAACAGGATGTTTTAATTTTCCTGATGATCAGAGTGTGTTCACATTATACTTTAACAAACAAACTATTGTTAATTTTCTTTGTCTCAACAGCCTAATGTTGCAGATGTACACAATTTTCTTGAAAATATTTGTATACATCTGCACTTTTTGCAGTAAATCAGAAAAGGTGAATAGTATGTTTAACATGTAGTTTACCTTCCTTTCAACAAAATAAACGTTTTTATTACAGGGCTATATGGTTTATGAGGTTTTGTTCCATTAATTGTTATATTTATTGTTTAGGTAACTCTGAATCTGCACAATGACTATCTTTCTACTACCCAAATGTTGTACTTATTTCTAGCCTTACTCCACTATGTAGGATCATGTTTACTGTTCACAAGCTACATCTATCTTGAAAATTTTAATTTATTTGTATGCACCACCATGAAAGGGTAGGTCATATAACACATCAATCTATTAAGCCATATGTCAAGTCCTATGTCAGTTCAGTTAAGTTTTACATTATTGTCAGTTTTTAGACATAGTTGGGTGGTACATGTGTTATAGGAGTATGCTTCTATTATCTTTCAACACCTGTTGGCAAATGCTACAATCAGAATCTATTATGAACTTTAGACACCCTGAAATGGCTTGCCATATATAATTTCTCAAAAACTCAAACTCTAAATTTTCAATGATTATGCTTGAAAAACTTAGAATGTGGGATTTTGTGATGTTATTATTATGCTTAGAGAACAAGTATAATTGATTTGGGAAGATATGTAAAAATTTTAGGTAATGCAAGTAGACTTTCTGCAAATCAGAGATGTACATGGATTTGACTCAATCAGGCCCCAATTTTACTAAAATTCTCAAACTCAAAATTTTACATAATATTGCTTTTTATACTCTTGACAGTATAGGCAGTGATAGAGGAAAGGATACAAAATTACTTTTTGGTTGTAAAATTTTACATGTGGAAATCTTTTTGTTCTTGATATAAAGAGTTTACAAATTAATAAAATGTTTGAAAAGCCTCAATATAATGTCAGAGATAAAGAATCCTTCAAGGAAAGTTTGCATTTTTATGATTGTTTTTTTTATCTGTGATTGTGACAAAGGGTGGATTCAAAACGTTAAACCAACCCCTTCTTTACCGTTCGTTGCTAGGCAAAGACCTCTTGTGATGTAATTTACCCAGTGTGGATGGATAGAAAGAATAATACAAAACTCTTAAGCAAGTATATTGAAGAAAAAAACAATGAACCCACTTTTAATGAACAAATATAAAATTTAATCAGTTTAAAAGTAGAATTCCAAATGGAAAGAAATCAAATTCTCTTACTACAAAAATAGAAAATGTACAACATGTACTCAATAAAAGCAAACACAAATTTCACTTTACTATTGATTTTCAGTGACAGAATTAATACTGAGTTTCATCATAGCCTACGAGTCATGACCTTGAGTTCAACGCTGAATGACATCATCACCTATCTTTATCCAGACATGATTTTTCTGTTCCTTTTTGCACTGCTAACCTTTGTATAATTGTCTTTCACCTGGACTCTTGCCAGTCAACACTTGAAACAATTTGACAACTGGAATTTGGCTGTAGAATTTGGCTGTGGAAATCTGATGAATTTTGCTGGAGAATTGGGCAGATGAAGCCGTTTCCATGTCCGCAATAGACAATAGGTGACCTTTTCAAAGTGTGTGTGTGTATATATATATATATATATATATATATATATATATATATATATATATATATATATATATATATATATATATATATATATATATATATATATATATATCATCCCAGCTCAGAACTGCCTAATTCTGTCTTAATGTTTACAAATAATTCTTTCTTAATGTTTACAAATAAAAGCAGCCATTACATGTATCCTGACCTTAATTCAGGTTCAGGAGCTTTTCTGCTTTACAACTAGTACTAGTACATACCCTAAACATTCCATGACTTCTTAGCATTAGGCTATTTAATACAGTCTAGTGTTAAATTACATATGGCTTAGCCCATCAAATCTAACTATTCTAAAATAGTTTACGTGATCAATTACATATTATGAACTAGTATATGAATATACTCTAAATACATGGCATACTATACAGAGATGTAATTCATAACTGTACAAAACATTACATATGTATTAGGGTGAATTCATGAAATTCTTACGCATTCCTACCTATCAAATATTCATTTACATGCAATCTTGTCGATTCTCTGGATGAACTGATAATAGAAAATCAAAGAATAAAATATCGTGACTAACATTTCACTAAAACCCTGAAAAATTAAATCATACATACATACATCATAACATTAATATTTGCAAATAAATCAACAAATGAAATAGTATATTAAAATCTGGAAACTAAGATTGTGTACCTTTGCTGTTTTATTTGTTTTATTCGTTTTTTCCACAAACTTCAAATTTATAGTCTGTCTACTTTCTTTGATGACTAACTTACCTTAGTCAGTCTCGAAGAAATGTACTTCTTATGTTTGCCCCTGGAGTCCTGTCTGACTTCTTCCAAGCAAGACTGAAGACTGAAGCAATTATGCAAAGTAAAGCTATTTCTTTCTTAAAAGGTTTATACCCTTAATTTTCCATTAGCCAATCAGAATCGACTGGTTACTAAATTTTCCTACCTGGAATATTTGATTAACTAGAATAGGCTAATCATGCTGAAATTAACTTTCCTTTGAACAATCAATTATTGACTGCTTCCCATTTCTACCAGTAGAGTTTGAAGAGTGTTAAGCCAAGACCCTTGTACCATAACAGATGACTAGGTCAAATTTCTTGAAGGGAAACCAAGTTTCCTTTCACATTCAGAGATGCAGTGAGAATAGTCACATAACTGTCTCTAGCCCTTTCTACTTTAATTAAGTTAACTTTGATACAATTCATTTTATCAATGCTTCTAAGAGTTTCAAAATTCGACACATCAAAGTGATGGATAGTGAATGTTGTGCAAAAAAAAATATTAGCGAAGAAATGTGAAAGATGTTAAAGGAAGAAATGATATTTTCAGATGTTTAGTGAAATTAAGACCAGAATTGGCATGAATATGACATTCTTCTTAATAGTTGTGTACACTGACAGAAACAATAAAGATAATAAAAATAGGATTATTTACTGGCCTAGAGTACTTTGGAAGTGAAGTGGTAAATCTTTTTAGACCCATACAATTGCTTTTCTGTGGTCAGAGGCTGTAAATAAAAGTAGCTCTTTGAAGCATAAATTTTAGGAAAAAAATATAGTCTCGCAAAAAAAAAAATAATTAAAAATTGTTTTTTTATTCTAGAATTTATATGAAATTTGTTTGCAAACATAAACTTCAATTTTTTTAAAGATCTAGAGATCAGTATTTTGTGAAGTAAAATATTTTATGAAGAAATAATTCAGATGATGTGCAGAAATTTGAAGTGGTGATAGTGATGTTTAGTGAGTTTCCCCATAGTATCCTCTCTCTCTTTTTCAGCCTCAGTGCCACTTGCTATTTGACATGACTGGTGATTGATTGGTGCAGATCATTCCTCAGATAGCAAGTTCTTCTCTGATTGGCTGAAATTGAATATATGAAATGAGAGAGGCAAACAGTTTTGTTAAGAGTGATAGGTTTGTTTTTGCCTGGCATATCTCTTTTCTGTTAAGGGAAGGTATATCTAGTTTCTTTTTTATGGGATTTGGGGATAAGCATAATTGAAGATTAATTGGCCAATGTCAGATCTGGTTGTCAGAAGAATTCCAGTCAAAGGGGGATGGATGGGAGTGCTCACCAGGTGAGGAGTGGAATAGTTTTCAATTTGAAACAAGGATCTAGCTATATTTATAAATTGGTTATTGACCAGGGAATACAGGGATAAAATATCTACTGTGTTTCTCACTCTGTACTAAACATGCTGTAAAAAGAGAATTTAAAATTGTCATGTATATCCTCTAACCAATGAAATTGAGAATGGATATAGAGTTTTGCTAGTTTGTATATTTGTGTTCATTGTGTCATTTTACTCTCAATATCAAGGGATTGTTTTCAGTTGTTAATGCATCTAAGAATGACTCAGCTTTATCAAAAGTAGGTCATTACCTAATTTTCATGCTGGAGTGATTTACATTTTCAGCCATTTGTTCATTATGCATTATGCAATCTTTATCTTGGTCCCAATTCTACCTGCACTTCTACACCTCTCCTGTAGCATAGTGGTTAGAGCATCCACCTTGGATGCAGGAGGTCGTAGGTTTGAACCCTAGCCAAGTCATACCAAAGACTTATAATAATGGTACTAACAGCTGCCTCACTTGGCACTTAGCATTAAGAAGTTAGTGTTAGGACTATGTGGCCTGGTGTCAGGATAATGTGACTGGGTGGGACATCATGCTAAATGTCTGCAGCATGATGCCCCAGTGCTAGACATCACTATAAACTGCAAAACTGCAGACATCATAGCAATATGACTAACATTTTTAAAGCTATGTAAAAAATCCAATTCACACAGACACATACACACATACACACACATGCTTAGTTCTTCAATTGTAAACATTTCTATGAGGATACAACACAATAAGAGTAGCTCAACCATACCACAGGTGCTGATGTGAGCTTGATGCTATGAAAAAAACAATAATCTGAAGGAAAAAGGTCATACAGAATGGCAAAAATGCCTCAGATTACCCCCATGACCTGTTCTGACATTGGACCCTCTCTATCACCCTATATAGTATAATTAAGGGAGGGTCCAATATCAAAATGGGTCATGGGGGTAATCTGAGGTATTTTTGTCACTGTGTATGACTTTCTTCCTTCAGATTATTGTTTTTTTCTTATTATCAAGCTCTCATCGAGCACCTGTGAATCAACTAGATCACTGTCACCTAAAAGTTTTACATCATTTATTTATTTTCAGCAATTGGCTTGTTATGCCCACATTATTTTGGACCCTATTTCACTAACACTTACGAAAACTGGTTTTTATGGTTTTTAGATACATGTACATGAATAATATAACCAACATCTAATGTGATCACTGCAACTTTATTATTGTGTTTGTGTTATTTTTGTATTTTCAGCTATTGTTTTTTAGTCTTAGTATCTTGGACCTTATTTCACCTACAGTAATGGAATTGGTATATGGTTGCTCAACAGAATAACTCAACCTTACCAAAGTAGGTCACTGTGACCTAATTTAAATAATTGAAAATTGTGTTTTCAACCAATCATTCATTACCACTTCAATATCTTGGGCCGTATGAAACCTATTGTCATAAAAATTATTATGTAGATGCATCTCGGCAGGAGTAACTGACAATACGAAAATAAAGTTACTTTCACATAATTATCACAGTTGAGTGACTTTTGTATTTCCATCATTATTTTTTTATTTACATTCTGAATGTCCTAAACACTATGTCAAGCATGCTTCTAAAATTTTTTATGCTGATTTATCACAGGAAGAATAACTCATCCATAAGAAAACTAGGTCACAGTGATCTAATTGTCATGTTTAAGTGCTATTTTCAGTCATTCATTTTCATTTTGTGCTTAGTATATTGAACAATATCTCTTTAATATCTTTTGTATATGTAGATGCATGTGAGAAGAACAATTGAGCCATACCAATTTTCGATTACAGTGACCTGATTTTCAGTCATGAGTACCTTTGTGTTTTTAGACAGCCTTCATTATTTCTTTATTTTCAAGACACTATTTCACCTACACATACAAAGAATGGTATCTATGTGCATCTCAGGGAGGGTAACCTGGCAATACCAAAACAATATCACTTGGACTGGATTTGTTCACTTTGAGTAACTAGCATTTAATATTTGGCTATTCATTAATTATACAATAAATATTGTTTGCACGATTAGACATATATTCATGAAACTGGTATATGAATGATTTTCATAACAATAACTCAGCCTCAATAATAGCCTACCTATATAGCTTTACCTACATAAATGAAAATTCACAAGTGGATGCACCTTAAAGGAAAAGTACTCAGCTACTATAATCTAGGTCATGGTGACCTAATTTTCATGCTTGAATGATAATTTTTTCAGCCTTTTGTTACATTGTAAGTCTTATAAACATTTAGAGTAATAAAACTTGGTTGCAACTGTGCAGTGATGAAACTGTATGTTGATGTGTCTTTGTGAGTACAGCTAACTTGAGCAAGAGTGGTCACTTAACTTGAAATCAAAATGTTTTGTTTCACTGCATTTTATTTTCATTTAGAAATCTTATTCAGTTAAATTTAATCCCATTTATTTTCACCTTTTATAAAGTGTAGTTTTTGTTTTTGTTTTAGAAAAAAAATTTAATTATTTTTCAGTCCTCACTAAAAACATTAAATTAGAAAAAAAGATCATATAAAATCATGTTAATGTGAAATTTGTACAAGTCCAAATTCCATAAATTAGCAGATACCTGCATTATATTTCTATTAATACTTCCCTCTCTACAGTAATTAAGTCATTAGCTCAGACTCATGACCAGCTTGTGATGGGCTTGAATCTGGTCCAGGCCAGTGTGTACCACCCCTCCCAGAGCACATGCACCACAAGCATATTTAGCATTTCTTTGGAGATCATTTCTGTATTATAGAAGTCCTTTTCATTGTTTATCTTAGCATTTTGGAGATAATGTACTGTTACTGGATCCAGGTTTCCTCTAGAGTCAGCCAGAATTTTCCTCAGAATGGAAAGTGTCCATTTTAGTGTCTGCATTGGAATATGGCAATGTCAGTACAGAGTCCATTAAAAAGTTTAAATTATATCATGCTGATCAGATGGCTGACAAATTGCTAGAACTACTCATTATTGGTACTGTCAGGGTCTAATTTTCCACTTGTAGCTATAACATCACACCCTTTGTGAATTTCAGCAAAATTTGCAGACATATCTCCCCCCCCAAAAAAAACTAAACACATCAGGATATTCCTTCTCATGAGATCAACAAATATTCCCACTCTTTTTTGTCTTATATCTACTATTATAATTCAGCAGAACTAACAATAGTAATTTATAATTATAAACAACAACCTATTATCAAAAATCAATGTCTGTTTACTACTACCTCATTCTAACTGAGTACTATGACATAAATAGTATTCTTTAGATAAACCATCACATTCTGCTCTGGCTTTAACTTTATCAGCTGAACTATGCCTCATGTTGAAGAGAATTCACAGCTTAATTGCACATGAATCATTGGACTTAATTCCTTGTCCTAATTATCCTAATTAGGTTACATTGCTAATTGGCAATTAAATAAAACAGATTATCAGACATACAAACAAAAATCAATCCTCATCATAAATGATACAAATCATTTAAGATAGGTAATTTACATATTCACACAGTTTGCAACAGAAGAAATACATGAAATCTTACTACGATTTCTTTTACTTGCCAAACCTCTAAATCTGAACTCATTCATATCAGTGAAACATGGTAAGAAATCTTGCAAACATGAATCATAATTATGCACTGTTATGTCAGAACTTTGCATGCAATTAAGACTAACCTTGTGCTTTATCCAAGCCTTCACTAGCTTATCATCAGAGAATTGCCAATTACCTTCTCTGGATACAAGTCTTTAAAAGTTCCAGACCTCCTTGTCTTTTCAACAGTTTGTTTAATGAGAGAAAATACTTATTAATTTTCTCCTGAGTCCCTCAGACTTTCTCCCTTTGTAGAAGAACTCAGACTGATTCATTCTATGAGAGATCTATATTAAAACCCTTGAATTTCATCTCAGAACACACACCCCTCATTTAGCTTAGCCAATCATGGTTACTCCTTCGCTCACCAAATATTTTTTTCACTCCTAACAAATTTCAGAATAATTCCTTATAGTCTGCCTTTTTTTAATAACTATTCTGGAAAATGTAAATTTATGAGACCAGTTTCAAATGGACCACAACTTCCTAAAAATTGTTTGTCTCCATTCTTTTCACTTTGCCACTATCACCTCAGGTTACCATTACACTATTCTCTGGTTTGAACTGTTAAACAAGTACATGAGACCTAAATTTAAACTCATTTCATGCCCCAAACAGACCAGATTAATTTTTAAAAGTTGCCAAATTTATAGTGATCCTAGTGGATACATCAAACTTATATTTGCTTGACTGACCCCCAACAAAATAATCCACTAAAGAATGTACTGTGAAATTTATACTAGAGACAGATTATTAAAAAAAAAATTTGCACCATTGTTCTTGAAATGTAAAATACAAAAGTTTTTAAACAGCTTTATGGGTTATCAAAATGGTAGAATGTAATCTCTTGTTGAGAACTAATTTCCTGCTTCAAGCAGGTTTGGAACAGACATAAAATTGCATGCTTTTAAAAAGTCCAAGACTTTCTAAGATGAAATGTGTGTGCGATTTGGATTTTTAATATATCTTAAAAAAATTTTCAGTCATATCTCTACGTCTGCAGTGTGGCAATTCATGGAGATGTCTAGCATTGGGGCATCATGCCACAGTTATGTAGCATTATGTCCAAACCAGTCAATATATCCTGACACCAAGTCCAGCAGCCCTAACTCTTACCTCTTAATGCTGAGCACCTAGTGAGCCAGCTGTTAGTACCATTTTTATAAGTCAACCGGGGCTTGAACCTGTGACCTCCTGCTCACAGAAGTGCCTCCATGGACTTTGTTTGCCTCCATGAATTGCCTTGTATGTCATAATGCACAGTCCATTTTATATCCCCCAGCCCACAAGCATAGAATGTATGCATGTATATATAGGGTTTAATAGCACATTGAGACTGTCCTGGTTAAATAATGATGAACAAAAGATTGGTAGATAAATGACAGATGTTAAAATATAATCAAAATCATCAAGGAAAATAATCCCTCCAACAAAAGTAAATATGGGCATGAAACAAAAGATAAAAGATGTTGTTATAGCTCTAGAAAAGATTCATTAAACAAAGGCATGCAGTTTAACATCATTAAAATACAAGGTAGAATTTGACTATAAATACAAAGTTAAACAACCAATAAAAAGTTTGCAAATTGTTCACTTGCTTACTGCATACAAGCCTCACTGTGGAAGATTTGCCCATTTGTCATCAGATTATCAATCTGTCAAATGCTGTTAATGGTGCTATTTTCATTTTTTTGTTTTTAATTTTAAAAACAGGATGAGAATCATTGTTCTGCTGTGTTTCACACAAATAACAGTATTATTCATTGTTTACAGAAATTTTGGGGGAAAATCTTTTTCCTTTTAAATATGAAACAT